CTAAAGTGCAGTGTGGATTACAGTCTCTGTGTGCATCTGGAGAAGTCATTGCACTTCAAGTGTTTTGAAACAGTATGGATCATTTTTAAGCAAACCGAGGCTATTAGATTATGCTAGGGGAGCTTTTCACACCATATATCCCACATTATAAAAAGTGAGACCACATAAAAGATTTTATTTATTCATTTTAGAGCTTATTTGGTATTAATCTTTTTATGGTTTGCCATATTTGTTTCCAGATGTTTCCTTTCTTATTTATTGCAAAAGGCTTTTATTATAATGTAGCTGTCCAGAGATTGGCGCTTTTGAAGGCAGGGGTGATATACATCAGGGCATTGCTTAATGGCCTGCTGTGTTTACATGAGGATTGCAGAAAACAAACACTAAGCATTTATCTGGGCTTTCCTCCGGCATGTTCAGAGTGCACTACTCTTGGAACTCCCATAGATAACAAAGCACTAACCAGTGAATTTAATATGATGGCAATAACGCTTAGCAGGGCTTTACCTCTCCAAACTGCTATGCAAAGATTAGCTAATTCTCACACTTCTGTGAGGTTACCTAAGCATTATCACCATTTTCACTGAGACAATATGGTAACAGTTCATTTTTGTATCATATCACTTGTATTCCTAATTTTTTAAAAGAGGCAAACCTGGATTTCTGAAGTTAGTGACAAAATTCTCATTAACTTCAGTAGTCATGGATAATACACACTAATTCAAAATGTCACTTAGAAAACTTTTTTTTTAAACAGTGGATTCAAGATGCAAAATTCAAATCCAGATTTCAAACACCCCAAAATGTGAGCATTTTTGAACCAATTTTTGTGTTTTACCATTAATGAAGATGGGGCCTTTGGCCAAATTCAGATCTGGATTTGGATGTCAAAAAAACTCGACTAAGGTTTTGGTTTGCACCCACTTTGATTTTTAAAAACCAAGGACTAGACTTTTAACCCCAAACTGAAAATCAGTAGCAGCAGTACACACTTCTGTACAAGACTGAAGTGACATAGAGGACAATTGTTCTATATCCTAAACTACAATGAAGTAAACAAGATGAATTCTGAGGAATCCGGGTCGCTGCTATTCATTATGTAAGGTGCTATACATCTCCTCGTAAGTGTGGAATGCCCTCATGTGGAATGCTCAGTGTTAATTGCATGTTTCCTGTTAGTTCCTTTATTTTTTTTTTTAAATACTTCCATCTTTTGGAACCCATGCCCTCATTCTGAGTGCAAAATTCTGATTGGGACGTCTGAGGTGGGTTGGTGGGATCCAATCCTGAATTGGGGGTCAATTCTTCCTTTTATATGCAAACAGTGTTACTGGTAGCATTGAATATGCATTAAGGGAAGAATGTCTATGTGACCCCAATCCTACCTCCTTTGCACATCCAAAACTTGGCCCCTGAAGTCAGAATTGGGCTTCTTGTTTTTTTCAAGGGCATTAGTGCCTCTGCCCAACAATACAATTTCCAAACCCCAAATAAGAAATCTGATGCTGATTTGGGTGGGTTTTTTTTATAAAATATTTTATTAAGAATAATAAGGATAAAGGTTACAAAAATACCAACTTTGTTAACTAACAATAATGCCATTAATTACAGAATTTTTGTAATAGAAGTTATAACCACAGTGTTCCCTTTTTGATAGGCATTCAGCTAGTCTTATTCAATAGGCAACATTAATATGTTCCTATTTAAATACAAGAAAAAGAATCAAACCATCCACAGCTTTTCACTGACTGCTCCCTGAAGTCAGATTCCAAATTAGGAAATTCCACAGTCATATGTCCATGAGCCTATTTATAAGGAGACACTGTAAAGGTAGGGTGAAAAGCAATGTTAGTTCTTGTCAGCAGCCCCAACACTTGCGATACAGTATTATACCAGTGCATGTGAAAGAAGAAAATAATTGCTAAGAAAACATTTAATGACCAGTCCAACAGACTATACGCTGCCAAAACTCCCATTGACTTCCAATGGGATCAGTTAGTTCATATTTAGACTTCTAAGGCGATATGATTTTTCATGCCTTTTGATATTTGGGGATTATGTAAATGGATGTGTGGTCATCTTAGACAAGCAACCTTCAAGCTCGGTGCTGCAGTCTTTTGGCAAAAAAATATCCACTGATTTCAATGGACATTTTTGCCTGAGTGGATTGTGTCCCTCACAGAAAACTTCAGGTATTATTCTAAAAACCCTCAATTGCATGAGTAGCCCCATGAAATTCCATGGCACTACGTGCAGGAGTAAGGGTTTTCAGGATTTCCCTTGAAAGCTCTCATCTTAAACCCGCGGAAAGGATTTCAGCAGCATCAAGACTACTCAGACTTCTAATTCCCCTGGGAGTCATGCATTTGTTTTCGGATTAGGGTCAAGGGAAAAAAGTCTGGAGAGGAGGTTTGCAGTAACAAATGCAGATCCAGTGCTCAAAGAAAATCAATAATAAAGCTCCATTAACTTTAATGGGGCAGAACCAGCCCCTAAGTTTTTCGAAGTCCCATGTCAATTATGTATTACACTTTTGTCTGTTATCCCAGCCCTGGGACTAGTTATCCTTCTTGCCGGGATCAAAAATTTGAAAAACAAAGGCTGAATTTGGGTTAAGACAATGTTAGTGACTGAGGTTTTTTCCTAATTACTTGTTTCATACCCTTTATACCACTACCACCCAATTTTTCTCTTAAATATGGCCCTGGCCAGAACTGCATCCACAGAGCCCAGGCAAATGCCCATTTAAGTCAGTAAGAGGCTTTCCTGTTACTTCAGTGAGCACTGGATCAGGCCCCTAGTTGTTTTAAAAAATATTGTTAAAACAATTAAAAAAGTCCCTTAACAGTGTCCTTTTGAAGGAGAATGCTGTAGCTATAACATTTGCCTGGTACAGTACCATTGGTACCAACAAGAAATATTCACAGGAATAAATGAAGTACAAATTAATTATCACGTCATTATTCTTCTCTTTCCTTGCTTTTCAGAGTGTCAAATTCCCTCCATACTGAGAGAGAGCGTGTGTACCTTATAAGCAAGTGCTTACAAATACATTAAGTTCTAGAGCATTGACTCTGCACAACTCATTTTACTGAGATGCTGCCCAGAACAAACAGGTAAAAATCCTTACACATTGTCTAACAAAAACACAGTATATTTATCATATATATATATATATATATATATAATCATATTGTCCTCTGCACAGCAGAAGATTATAACTAAAATACTTTAGGATCCAATTTATTTTATTTTGTTGGTAGACATAACAAAATGCCTGCAAATATAATACAGTGAGCACATAACAAGTCTTACAATAGGAAAAGTAAATATGTCATTGTATACTTTATCCATGCTCTTCTCAATGGCACAAAATAAAAACTCACTCGGAGTTCCTCATCTCTCCTTAAAAGTTAATCCTTTTTGTTAAGATATAGTCAGCACATATTTAATGAGAATATACACTTTATATAAATGGCAACAATTTCTTGTAAGTGCTACAGGCTAAATCCTGCCCTTGACTGCGCTGGAAAACAAGAGGAGCCAGAGGGAGAGTATGAAGCCTAATCCCCTTCACTAGCAGACCAAGTGGGAGGTACACCCAGCTAACATCCAGGCATACAAGTGATGAGCCAGAACCTAGAAGCCCTTGTGAGTAATCCTACTCATGTGAGTAGTCCCACTCATGTGAGTAGTCCCATTTTGGTCAGTGGGACTACTCACACAAGGAAGGATTTTCAGAAACATGCCTATTTATCTGCTTGCTCCAAGACCTCTTGCTTTGTGCCTGTAGATTGTTTTGGGTACTATTCAGCCAAGTATTTAACTATATAGCTAAGTCCCATTAAAGTCGAAATGCTTTGCTGATGAGGGACAGTTTGGGGAATCAGCACCTTCACAGCCTCCCAAGGCAGCTCCCTGCATAGTTATTTTTACCAAGGCAGGATTCAGCCCTATGTCACTTACATGTAATTAAGGTGAAATGTTCTTTACTTTTACACAGTGATGTCAGTTTAGGGGCTATGTAGTTAGATATGGTACATATTTTACAGTCTGCTATCTGAAACATATGCATTTACATAGTTCATGAATAAAGTAACAATGAAGTTCCTTATGCAATTTAATGTACAGTAGTAAGTACAATGGGATTATATAGTGTATCATTTTTTTCCAGCAGGTACATGGTAATTAGTGCCATCTAACATAAAATATTGCCATTTGCTAATTGTTTAGTACTTTCAGCTACACAATACATGTTCTAAAGGAGCACAAGGAAGCCTCATAGATGTTGACTATTTGTTCTCTTGCTCCATCTTCAGTATGGAAAATTATGGCCCTAGGTGTGCAAGTAGACATGTAACACAAGCAATTGCACTATTAGTGACATGTTGCATACTTTACAACAGGCCAGATTCATCTCTGCAATAATTCTATTGGCTTTAAAGGAGTTATAGGAGAGATGTATTGTTTAACCACATGTTTAGGTTTTTCTTAAAGATAATAAAACACCTATAAATAAAACATATTTAATGTTACTGAAATCAAAAGATGTATTCCATTTGATTTGAAATATTTGTTGTTTCAGTGGTTCTATTTGTTACATACGAAGGGCTGAAATTATGCCTTCAGACTGAGTATGCAATTTCCAATTTCCAGGCATACCTGAGGGCACAATTTGGTTTTAAATGCATTAATGACAACAGTATTCTTTTTTTTCCCTGTTGATTCTATCAGCTCATGATCAGATTCTACTCTTACTTACCCTGCTGTAAATCCAGAGTTATTCCCTTGAGTTACTGAGAAATCTGGCACTAAAGTCTCTATTTCAATGCAGGTTTCAGAGGAACAGCCGTGTTAGTCTGTATTTGCAAAAAGAAAAGGAGTACTTGTGGCACCTTAGAGACTAACCAATTTATTTGAGCATGAGCTTTCGTGAGCTACAGCTCACTTCATCAGATGAAGCTCACGAAAGCTCATGCTCAAATAAATTGGTTAGTCTCTAAGGTGCCACAAGTACTCCTTTTCTATTTCAATGCAATTAATTTTAATAGTAAAAATGGTCTGTCATTAGCTAATCAGGATACATTCCTAGGATCCTATGAAATACACGTTTAGGCGTCATTTTTAAATATGAGGGTTCATCTACACTGCAGCTGGAGGTGCAGTTTCCAGATTTGATTGAGCTAGCACACTAAAAATAGCAGGGTAGCCACGGCAGCATGGGCAGCTGCATGGGCTAGCCGCCTGATTGCAATCCCACCAGTGACTCTAGATAAGTACTCAGGAAGTTAGCCCATGCCATTGCCAGAACCACCACAGCTACACTACTATTTTTAACATGCTAGCTCAATCAAATCTAGCATGTATAGATTTGTGTACATCTACCTGAGCAGTGAATTACACCTCCAGCTGCAGAGTAGATGTACCCTGGGACGATTAAAAAAAGATTGATAAGTTGCTCATCAACCCGTTTCTCTGTCTTGTCCCTTATCCATAGGGTATATTGTAATATCCCTTAGGACAGAAGTACAGAGCCAGATCCTATAAATCCTATGTAAAAGGAGCTCCCATTGACTTCAGTGAGAGCTCTGCTCATGGAGGGCTTGCAGAATTGGGCCCACAATGAAATGAGCAAATAAAGAGATTATTTTTAACATATTTAAATTCTGTATATGGGGGAAGAGAATTAGGTCCATATACGCTGTTCTTCATCAATGCACACAGCTCTCCGTAGAACTTTTGCCACAAACAGAGAGTGTATATGGTACATAGCAAGAGTAAGGGGTGTTAAAGAAAACAAGCTTTCTTTGTATCTCATGGACAAGCTGATCTGAAGAAACAGCCTAAAGAGGCCACATGAGCTATTTCCACAAAACACTTCTGCATTCAGCAATAGTATCTTTGCAATTTTGTTTACCCATCCAAGTATCTTCAGGAGATATGTCACCATACTTGCAGATACTGTAGCTCACTTCAACATCTATAAAACAACACTGATAGACAAAATCTTCAGAAAACACCCATAAATGATCAGGAAACTTGACTATCAAGTAGTTTTTTAAAAAAAAATCATGGATCTTTACATTACACATTAATTTCATGCTCTCTGAGATCTTCATGTGAATGGAATTGGTGGTTTTGTGTGAAATATTCAGCTATAACTCAGATTTGTACGTCAACAAGATTTTGCGTATCCACTTGGAGTAATATGCCACTCTGACAAAAATCCCAGGACGATTTGGAATGGCACATCCACGGCCAGGAACGATAACACCCACTATTATTTTCATCCTGTTTTGTTCACAGACCAAGGGGCCACCATAATCCCTCTAGGAAAAGAGAAATAAAGAACATTAATTTGTGAACAGCTAAAAGACACAGTTCCCCCTTGTTTTCTGTAAGCTATTGGGTAGCACCCTACTCTAGGAACCTTCAGTAAGACTATCTAAGGAGTAGTATGATATCTTCATTTATGCAGAGCATCACAAACAGGGCCTATATCAACAAACAGCAGGGTTGGCCCTATGCTTTGTCAGGCCTCTATGCAAAGAGCCAGGCAAGAGAGACCCCATCCAGATACTGATTGTAATTCTTCCAAACTTCTACATACCAACAATATTGCTTCTTTCTCTCAGCTACCTGGCAAGTGCAAAATATGTACAGTATTCATAAAAGCCATCCAGCAAACAGGACAGGTGGTTGGAAAATCTCTGGTGCAATGCCATGCTATTCATAGAAGGGTTCTGAGAGAGCCAGCAGTGCTATCCCTCTGTCACATGTTGGGCAGCAAGGCCCCTGGGTGCGTAGAGCTGCATGCGTTTGCACAGATGGCAAAGGCCACCGCCAAGAATGATTCAGAAATGAATTAGCCACAGCTATAAAAAGGAGAGGACTTCTTCTCTCCTCAATGAACCCCATAACTCATTATTTTTAATGGGTGGTACACACATGCATCAATCCAAGCTCTACATGTATGATGGGAATTTTACATGTGTGGACTAGCATGTCACGCACTAACTGGCCTGGGTGGAACCTGCTGGCACATAAAAATTCCCTAGTGCATGCTAATGTAGAGCCATTGTAAACAGCATCACGTTAGCATGTACTAGAGAACTTTTAGTGTGCCTCTGCAGGGTCCATACAGTCCAGTGCGCAACACACTAGCATAACCAGAATTTATATCCATCTGTTGCTCACTAATGCACCGTGTAGGCAAGCCCTTAGTTAGCGATGACATTCTTTAAGATTTGATTAGCTAATGAACGATAAAATCGTGCAGTCTTCATTCACTGACGCCAGCGAGTAAGGACTGCAGGACTGGGCACTAAGAAGTGTTTGCATCAGATCTTGAAATACTGCCTTAAAACATAAAAGATAACAATCCTTGTATCCTCTCCAGATCACTTCAGAATTAACAGTGATTGACCTCTTCCAAATACAGCGGGTTTTCTTAGTTCTTGCTGATTGCAGGCTAATTCACAGACTATGCCTGTACTATTATAGCATCACCAAACCTGCTAGTGAAATATTTATTGTCTGCTGGGCTTTCACCTGCCATTCTGACTTAATTTCCCTTAATCTGATAGCTCTGTTTTTCTGTTTGTTCCATACTGATAGATGTTGTTCCAAGGGGAACACAGGAAGAGTGAAACCATCCACTAGTTATAATCATAATTAATATTGATGTGCTTCATTTCTTCTTACATGAAAAAATGAAGAGCTGGATTTCCTGAGGACTTCTATGCAGGTGTGTCATTTATATCTTAGAACCCTGAGAACTAATTGATAATGAACCAAATGTTTAATTTTGAGGAAAATACTTTGTTATTACAAAATGATCCCACTGAGGAGTCATATTAACATGCCGCTACCTAAACAGGACCTGCCTCCCGCAAGTTTTGGTGCTGTCCTTGGGTAGGAAAAAGTCCATTGTTTTATATGTATTGAACTACTTAAAATTTCCTTGTACCCATCTAAACCAAATGTGTACCCATACTAGTGACTGTTGCCTTCTCCACCCATCATCTCGGCTGGCAGACTGTCAGTCTAAAAATGATACATCACTACAATAAGAGGATTTTGTACCTTTTCCTCTACATCCTAACCAATTCCCACTCAAAGGGACTGATTCAAACCCAAATGAAGTCAGTGAAAAGACACTCCCTGACTCAACTGAGCTTTGGCTCAGGATGCAATTGAAAGATACCAACTTCTCTCACAAAGCTCCACTTTTCTATCTAGAAACAGAGCTACCATCTGCTGTGTCTTTTTTCCCCAGTAAGATCCCCACCACAATTAAGGATGAATGCCAATATATCCCAGAAGTATATATAACAACTAAAACTGCCCCAAATTCTGAATCTAATCTATTTCATAAAGCTGCAAACACTCTAAATCCCAGTACTGGTTGCACAGATTGTGAGACATCTACCCTGAGAAGCTTGGAACTCTAAGGGCTTCCACTCTGTTCATAGCTCTCTCTTTCAACATCACAATGAGGTGACCTATTTTGTTAATTTCTTGGTCAACCCCCGACTTGGCTCAGCAGCTAACCTGATTGCAACCCTACTGGCAATTCAGATAAACTGCTGCTGCTGCTCACAGGGGGCGTGATGTTGCCACCTTTTTCGGACTGCATATACTTACTCCACAAACAGATCCCAGTCCACCAAAGCATGTGATTTAATCATGCTGAGTAAACTTAGCATGTCCTCAAGAGCTTTGTTGGATTGGGGTCATAGTCCCATTGATTTCAGAGGAACTAAGAATAAGGAACTATCCAATGTGAGTCAGGGTGGCAGAAAAGAGTCTTCCAGAGAGAGACCTTTGTTTGCAATGTGCATGGAAAGGAAATAGTATCCATGGTTTCTTTCCACTTACCAATTAAATGCAGAGAGAATAATTAGGCAAACACCAGGAACGTATTACTGGTAAAGGAAAAAAACAACCCCGGAGCAGATGTTTGTAGATTCTTGCACTCTGTCATACTATTTTACCTCACACGGTCCAGTGCCAATGCCCTCAGCCCCAGCGCAGATTTCTGACTCGTTCACAGTCATCTTCCCTTTGAGATATTGGTTGCACTTCTCATTTCCCATAATAAATAGGTTTGCTACTCGGAGCAGGCCATCAAAGTGAATCACTAGCATTGAAAACAAGAGCAACAGTCAATTGTGCACAAATTATATTACATTTTAATGAAAATGAACACTAAGTACTAATACCGTTTATGCTGATATATGCCACTTTATCAGCTGCACATTCTCCCAAACTCTCCAGTAATACACATGCATGTTTTAGATTTCTTACATTGTTACAGCTAAAAGACAGGTAAGAAAGTGTGTCTGGAGTGTGTGTAATATTTTTAGATTATAATACCTGGAGATGCGTGTTGTACTTGTAAGAGCAAAAGACTGGAATATGGATTTCTCGCTTCTATTCCCTAATCAACCAATGATTTGCTGTATGACTTTGGAAAAAAATCACTGAGGGTAAGATTGAGACTGTGGGTGCAAGTCTGACTCCACAAAAATCAATGGGAGTTATGTCATTGACTGCAACAGAGCCAGGATTTCACCTTTTGTCTTGCCCTGAATAAAGGGCAATATGCAGTTGTGCCACCCTCAGATCAGCATAGGGAAGGAACTATGACTTAGGGTATGTCTACGCTGGCCCATGCCAGCTGACTTGGGCTTGTGGGGCTTGGCCTAATGGGCTGTTTAATTGCAATGTAGATGCTCAGACTTTGGCTGGAGCCCAGGCTCTGGCACCCTGTAAGGTGGGAGGGTCCCAGAGCTTAGGCTGAAGCCTGAAATTGAATATCTATACCACTATTAAACAGCCCCGCAGCTCAAGCTCCATGAGCCCAAGTCAGCTGGTATGGGCCAGCCATGGGTGTCTAACTGCAGTATAGACATGCCCTTACAAGCACAAATTCCTCCTCTCCCTTCACTGTTCAGCTACTCTGGATAGCACAGTATGGGTTGAAGTGCAGAACCCAGGCTCTGCTCACATTCCACTCATCTGTTTGAGGAAGAGGAAGTAGCAGCCCACAGAGCTCGCTCTCCCTCCTTCTCTAGCAAGTCCTAGTGCCCCCCATCTCTAGTCCCTATCCTAGATTTCCCACACTTACAGTCCAAGTCTCCTTGCCTAGCCATTCCTGGTTCCCAGCCCAACCCTCTAGGCTCTTGGCCCCCAGTTTCCTTGCCCAGCCCATTCCAGTTCCCTCCTGGCTCCTCATCTGATCTGCCTCTGTCACATGCATCCCAAGACTCCAGCCACCTTCCTGATGTTCCCCATCCCCACTGGCTTCCCATCCAGGTCTCTTTGCCCAGCCTTGAAGTCTTTAAACCACAATTTGAGGACTTCAATAGCTCAGACATAGGTGAGAGGTTTTTCACATACACAAAATAATGCATTTTTCCCTAGCCTCATTCTCAGACACAGCTGAATCATTTTCGCTTAATTTTCCAACAATATTCAGCTTCATGAAGACATCGAGCAGGGAAAATTTCATCTGAAACAGTTAAAGTTTGGCAATGTTATAAGCAATGGAAAACAAGATCTTATAATGGGACATTTTAGGGAACTTCAATATTAGCTAGCGCTACTAGTCTTGCCTATAATATGTTGGGAATGGGAACTAAGCAGACTGTCAACATATATTGTTTCATTCAGTTTTAAAAACTAATATCTTACATCCTGTGTGTCCCCATCCGTAAACACTGCAGGTGGTCCTCTCTGGAATGGTACATCCAGAAATGGGCAATCTGATTAGATCCACAAAATTATTGAATACTGCAGCTCTGCAAAGAGAAAACAAAGAGTAGATATGATGGATCTTATATAGCATTTTAAACTGCTTTTTAAAAAAAACAATATGATCTATGATATATCACAGTAATAATTAAAAATTGTGCCAAATATTCTGCTTTATTTTTCTTCTCATGAAAATCTGGGAGTTCCTTTTAAATATTTTTTGAATTGCAGATGTTACTTCTCAAGCAGCTTTCCTGTAGTGCTGTTACAGCTTTTATTCTGTTTAATTTGGGTTTTCTGTACAAAGATAAACAATGAAGGCATAAAGGGAATACCCTTAATTTGAATAAACATTTATGATAATATGACGGTACATATGAAGGGTCATATGTACAAAAGGAGCTCACTTACAATCTAGTGTTTATTCTATTCTATAAATTAAAACCACACGCCATTCTATTTAACTAGGCCTGATTATCAGGAAGAAAGATCCATGTAGGGCATGCTTTTTCCGAAATGGCATTTGTTTTTGTTGGTGCAGAAGGTGAATGTGCATTTTTAACACATGTCCAAGAGTCTGGGCTCCATTCTGACGGAATGCTCATTAACTTGAGACTCAAACTACATGTGCAATCCAGACTCTCTGGTTGCTGCTGTTCCACACCAGTTATTGGGGCCACTGGATAGCATAAAAATAGATCTGTGAGCCCACTCTTGATTAGGGAAACTAGATGTCCCGATTTTATAGGGACAGTTCCGATATTCAGGACTTTGTCTTATATAGGCTCCTATTACCCCCACTCCCCTGTCCTGATTTTTTACACTTGCTATCTGGTCACCCTACTCTTAGTTATCCGAACTGTGGCCTTTTATGCCAGACTTCCTGGGACCAGTGTAGAAGCTGCTTCTGTAGTACATAGTAAGTGCACAGGTACCACTTTTCAGCTGTTCTGCTAGCAGACACCAGCATAACCCCTAAATAGAGACTTTGTACCAGACACAAGAATGACAGGTCAATTCCACCAGCAATGAATTGTTGGTACAAATATAATCTAACTACTATCCTTTGCACCAGCAAAAACTCAGGATGGCTGAAAAATCAGGCATATACTGTGAAGAATATTAAGCCAATCCCCAAAACAAGAAAACAATGATTAGCAACTAATCACAAAGTTATAAATTATATCACTGTGAGTAGAGTTGGTCAACATTTTTGTCAATGTTTTTTAATGAAAAATGGATTTTCAACCACCAAAAAGAAAAAACTCCACAGTTTTGTTTTCACCAACATTTTTCCTTTTTTGAAGGGGGAAATTTTTTCTTTCTTTTTTTTTTTCATTTTATTTGGATGGGGAAAATCCTACTCTTTTGCTCTATTACTTTAACACACCCTATTCCAGTGGTGTGGGAGAACTTAAATATTGTAAAGGTTTTGTTATTTCTCCTCCCAAAAGGATTATTTTTGTTTAAAATATATGAAAACTTTCAAACAAACTGAAAACGTTTCTTTTGAATTTTTTCATGATCTAGGCTTACTTTACCTTTTTATGACTAGCTGTAAGTGTGAGTTTAATCTATATGGACATAATCCATATTGCTACTATCTAGGTCTGAGCCTACAGTACTTTCTTAGGCAAAACACTCATCAACTGGAGATCCTGGAGTTAGCAATATTAAGAACTAACCTGGCAAGTTTCAATAATACCAGATCAGACCCTTCAGGTCCATACACCAACTGGGAGATATTCAGAACTTGTTTATGTTTCTCTTCTCTTCCTTTGATATTATGAACTCCAAGCCAAGCTTCATAGTCTTTCAAATCTTTGTACCTGAATAAGACAAATTTAGTATGAGACATTGGCATTTTACTTGGTCTAGTCTCAACACAAACATTCTTTTTTGGTATGGTAACATTCACATATATATTGAAAGAGATTAACTGCCACTCTTTGGTAGAGATGGACACACACTGCCATTTCCAAGTCAAATCAGAACTTTTCCAAAAATTTCATTGCATTCAGATATAGGGTTTTGGTTTGGAAATAAAGGCAAGCCATAAAGTTCACATCCAGTTCCAAAGTTTTTCAAAATCCAAAGGCATTTTGGTTAGCGTCCATCTCCACTATTCCCGTATTCTCTCTCTCTCTCTTTTTTTTTTTTTTTGGTTTTGTACATTTTATATCAATTCCACCAACTGTAAGATTGTATTGTTTCACTTTGCAAGTACTGCAGCTTGAACGAGAATCTGTTTACTGGTTTTTAAAATTGTGACATCTAAGACAAGAACTACTGAAGTTTTATTTTTAAAAGTGGGAGTGATCTTGTAGCAGGTTACCCATCTTTTCTCCACTTCTATATTAGGATAAAAATATGCAGTTCATTTCCACATATATTCATGGCAGGCCTCTTAGTCTATACACTGGAAGATGCTAGGTCAATAAATTAGAACATGTTAGTAATTCAGCAGTGTATAGAGAGGGGAAAACAATATGGATAAAATAAGAACCAATAGAAACTTGCATCCAAAACTCAAACTGATCCTTTTGGAAGACCCAACAGGTCACACTTTTAAAAATTATTTAGTTTTCATTTGCACAATGAAACTGGACTTCCTGATTTCAGCCAGGACCTAAAGAGGATGAACTGAAAGTTTGTTCTGTTTGTATTTCCAAGGCAGAATAAGAAAACTCCAGAAATTTCATGATCTCTCAGAATTCTTGTGAATATTCAGATCTTATGGAGCAATGATGGCTAAGTAGTAAGGCCTGGATGCACAAAAGAAGTTAGGTGTGTAATGCTGAGCATCACAGCACCTAACTTTTAGATGTCTAGAAAATCACTGCAATTCACTAAGCCTGAGTTAGGCACTTTGGCTCCTATACAATGAATGGGGAGAGATAGGCTCCTTAGACTGATTCACAGAAACCAGTATGCTAGACAGGGAGCTGCTTAACTAGCCAATGGGAGATGCTGACCAATGGTGAGTGTCAAGCCCCACCACCTCATAGACATAGGCATTTAAGTCCAGACTGCAGGGAAGCACCTATGTCTGCTAGCAATTCTCATCTGTGAATCCTCTCTTAGAGTTAGGCACCTTATGCCATTGTAATAAGCTGCTGAAAGAGAGGGAGGGAAAAGAGGAGAAACTTACTCATAACTTTAGCCAACTCATAAGGATACTGACCTGGGAGGCTCCCAGTTGAAGTCTCCCTCCATCTGAGGGGGAGAAAAGATTTGAACTGAGATCTATCACTTCTCCAGTTCTAACCACGGGGCTATGTGACATTTGGATACAGACCTCCTTCAGTCTCTCCTGGTGAAGCTGTTGCACTTTGTATCAATAATTAGTCACAGGGGGAAGGGGGAAACTTGATTCTGGGACACTCATATCCTAGGTAATGCTCTAACCATCAGCCTATAAATTATTCTCATGCATGTTCTCTCTCTCCCCCCAATGACTCAATGGGTTCAAACTCTGCCACACAAGTCTTTCCTCTTAACTTCTTGTTTCCATTCTTTTAAGGGTTTGGACGGATGAAATGTGCCACTAACTGTAGTTTTTGTTTCCTAATAATATCCAAACTTTCAGATTCTCAGTGAACTGAACCTTTGAACTTTCCGAGATTTGCCCAGGTTTGTATTATACTCTAGCCAATTCCCAGCAGTAGCATGAAATTAAATCTTATAAAGAGGCAATTGTCTAATTATCACACTTGAAAGAGACAGTCGTACTTCATACTTTCTGTAAAATGTCCAGTGCTCTTTTGGAGCTATGATAATGATAATAAATGAATAGCAAGTTTCCATAAAGACATTCATTATCAAGAGAGAAGGACTGAAGATAGAGCAAGAGAGAAGACTGCAGGGTTTAAAGGGAAGATGCATTGTGCCACAGGCTTAAAAGAAAGAAAATACATTTCAACAATGCAAATCTACAAACTACTGTACCGAGAAGGGAAACATTGTCTTGCTGTTAGAACCCAGTTTTCCTTTACCAAAGTACCTCCACAGATATGTTTATTCCTAGGGGGGGAAAAAAAAACATAGGAAAAAAATTGTACTATTTGGTTTTTATCAAGCCAAAACTTCTAACAGCACTTCTAAGGCCACCATTCAGTTACACAATCATATTATTTAAATAAATTTAGTGCCATTAAAAGGTATATTGACAGCCCCAGAAAATGAAGATCTCCCTCTACAGTGCAGGTGAATCATGGATAATACTGGAGCAATGTAGGCTTCCCTCAGACTGCCCCACCAACCTATCTCTAGAGATGAGAGGGAAGTTCATTTCTCTGTTCATTCATTTTTTGGCCTCAATGCTGAGACTAAAATAAGGGAGCCAAATGTAAAACTGTGATGTGGCTATCTGTCTAGTAGGAACTGGACTGAAATTACCAGCTCATTTCAGACAGGCCCCTAAACTGCCACCAGATGGTAACAACATTTGGTCATTACTTAGCTAGCTCGTATTCCAAGTATTGACCTAAAGGTGGAAAGTTCCTATTTGATTACCAATCCCTTGGGTTATCCAGTCCCAACGTACTTCAGTTGGAAACAATCTGCAATATGTGATGACTTGTGTGAGATTATAGAAACTGCGGCATACTATATCATGTAAAATTAAAAGGATTAAATATGACAGATATTCCAGGAATAAAGAAGAGAATTTGGAATGCAGATTAATTAGTTTGCTTCTTTCTACTTCCAAAATCATTATATTTATTTACTGCCGCTCTTTGGAAGGAGATACATCAGTGCTCTGGGCAAAGTTTAACTTCTCACATTTTATAAATTCAAATCATACAGATGTTCAAAGCTTTAGCAAGAACTACTGGAATGAGCCCAAATTCACTTATGCTTATTCTGTGTTGCAGTTCAAAGATAGCAGACTAACACAGATGTTTGCCTTCTACTTCTTTTTGGACTGTATTTCGGCTGGGGAACAAGTTGGGTTCTTTTTAAAAGAAAGATTCCTTGTCACTGCATCACAAGTAAGAGTACATATAAACTTTTTGTCAGTGTCACTTGGCCAGATTGGCATCATCTCATTTAGAAGTTGTGACTGGTACATACACAGTGGCACACAGAGGTCAAAATTCTGCTTTAACAGTGGCACAAATTCAGAGTAACTTCTCTGTAGATGAAGTTACTCCAGATTTACTTAAGTGTAATCAGTAGCAGAATCTGGCCTAGATCTCAGGATGCTCAGGGTAATTAATTTTCTTTACATTTTAGAGATGGGCCTTAGCTGCAAAGTATGGTCTCAGATCTGGGTTTCAAGCACCCCAAAGTTTAAAGAGCTTCAACTCTGAGTTTGGTTTTGCCCATTTTAACACTTTGTAATGTTTTCAAAACTCGGATTAGGAGACTGATTTGATTTTAAAATTTCCTCCCTCCACCCCACCCCCCAATGTTCCAGAGTGATCTGAAGTTTTGGTTCAGACCTCTATTATAATTAGTGGGTTTGTTTCTAACAATATAACAGTTGAATAATAAAACCATACTCTTATTCACCAACAAAGTATTTTTCAATCATAATTTTGTTCCTTGTGAATTTTACTCACCCTCCCTACTACCAAACAAAAGAAAAGCTTTTCGGAATTCATCTTTCAGTAAAAGACCCCATAATCTTTTAAGTGTCTCTGGTCATTCCCCCAGCCACTGGTCATTCTGTCTCTCTTGAGGATATATTGTGGTATGGCCAGAGACACAGTGTCCAAAGACACATTCCAATTGGCCAGTGGCTGGGCTTTTTCACTTATGTCACCTGTGCAGCAACACCTGACAATGCACAGATGAAGCATCATCATCAAAAAACTTCACAAAACAAAGCTGCTATGTCCATTATGGGTATGGGAGAGAGAAAAGTTAACAGAGGAAGGGGAACAAAGACAGTTAGGGCCGGAAGAGAGGTACTAGTGGCAGGTGGACAGAGGGAAGCACTGAGGGCAAATATATCAGAGATTTAGACAGCCTACTCTTCCAAAATGCCTTTTCTGCAGCAGTTTGTGGCCTGCAAGCTACTTTTAACCCACTTGCCAGAGTAAAAGCTAAACTGGGAGTTGCTTTTGGTGACCAAATATTAAAGGGGAGAATCAAGACACCTGCTATGGTAGGCAGATAGAAGATAGTTTTGGAAAGGTCAGAAATGTGCGTATATAATAGGGTTTGGGCAGCTGTGGGGTGAGAGAAAAGCCATGCCCACTCCTTCCTTTTCCTTTCCTCGGTCATATAACAAACCTCCTTTTCCTTCTTTGCTTGCATGTGCTGAACACACTTGTCTGGTTCAACATAGCACAGGTGCACCTGCCCTGCTTTGTCAGTAGTCCAGCTGAAGTCAATGCTTCACATGTTAAGCATGCACTTAAGTGTTTTGCTCGATCACACCAGCCTTGTAGGATCAATCCCTCAACCACCTGATCAGCAGCTTATTCAAGAGGACAAAAACATTGTTTTTTGTCAAACCAACTGGGACGTTGAGACAGACCCTGGAAATATTATAAATGATAATTATTTGTATTTTGGCAGTGCCGAGGAACCCCAGTCATGGACCGGGACCTTATTGTGCTAAGTGCTGTACAAACGCAGAACAAAAAGTTGATGCAACATTCCTGTTATTCAGGGAACATGGTCACCATAGAACAGTTTGATCATCCAAAATTAGCTTTTCTAATAGAAAGTGAGTTGGAGAGGGATGGGGGATGGGAGTACAAAGGGCTCAAATAGTCCATAGAGCTTTAAAGAAAGGCTAATATAGCTATCAAAATAGTACAGAAATATACATCAATTGGAAAAGGCAAACAAATGGGTTAAGAACTGCATTTGTGGAGGAGCAGAATAATGAGTTTAAGGAACATGCATTTTTTTATGTTGGGAGTTCTTCATATGGTACCAAACGGAGAACAATATGAGATAAACTATTTCCATAACTTTATCGAATAAGATCTTTCATAATGTAATATACATTTCCATCTGTGGACGTTAGGATCTTGTTTTACAGGGAGAAAAGGGATTTCCTTATTGCCCATATTTATTTCTCATACATATTGCATTTCAATTGCATGTAACGAGATGAACAGATAACCTTAAAATTTGACACTGGTTTAAATCCTGCATGTCATCTTAAATCTTAATGTACTGCTGTTAAACTGCAGAAGGCAACATGCAACTCAATTTTCTAACAAGAGTCACTGAAACAAACATTTTAAGGCTAGATGTGATGCCAATGATATAAATGGATCTACAGTAGCTAATCTGGAAAGCAGAAGATTATGCATGTTTTATAAAGAACAGTTCTTATACATAGGACAGAAATAATGAGCTTATAACCAGTTCATGGACAAGAAGAATACAGACTTGGATTCAACAGTTGTTCCAGCATATTTATACTTTGCTTATGCAGTGTTTAATCACAATGTACGTGTGTCTTTACTGAGGTCTATGTTTTAGTGTAACCTCAAACCTATTTTTTTTTAAAGTAGGGTCATCTTGATAAATGATAGTTACCTGTATGCCAAACTAACCATCCATCCTTCGTTAGTTTGCGTTGGGATTCCATTTACAACTCTCAAATGTTTTGTTGAGGCACAAGAAATGACAGTATCTGAAAGCAGGTCCAGAGATCACATTTTACTAAAAACAGCGGGAGGAAACCTGTACAGTTGCACATAAGGACCACAGAAAGGTCAATTTTTAAGAAACAGATTTTTTTTCTCTCAGAGCTACTAAAAGCATTCAAAATTACATCAGTTGGAGTGGCAGTAGGCCATCTAATATTTAAACAGGCTGCTGGCATGAAAACATTTAAATAGTTTTATTGTTGAAATTCATATAATTATATAGCTAATACTGAAAGCTAGCACCATACCTCACCAGTTGGAAGAGTGAGTTTAAAAATGTATATCACAGAACACCATAAAGGTATCAGCTTGCCAAGGAATTTTAAGTGTTTCTTTTGTAAATCTCATTTTCTTAAGCCTAGAAGTAATTTGCTTTCTTTAGCTGATATTGTGGCATGCCAATCAGAAAGGATTGGCTAGTTTTAAGGAACTTATTCCTTTACCTCATACATATACACAGAACACTCAAAGAAAGTGGAACTATCATAATGGGACATACAGTATATATGTAACAATTACTTACGATCTAAATTGGTTGTGGTAGGAGTTGTATCACCTTCACCTAGCAGACACACAAGACGTCCATAACAGTGAAAAATAAAAGAAAGTCTAAAATTAAGAGGAGTCATAACAGAAAAATAAATGCTATGTTATTGATTTTAATAGTTCACAAAGATTAAGGCTTAAATGAGCTTTGGAAAAGGCCACAAAGGCATAGAGGCAAGGAAGGGGGTAGAATTTAATTTCAGAAAAAATTTAGCAACATTTAGAAATGTTTATTTCACATTTTTCCTCTTGGCTTAATTTTGGATACATCTGAACTACACGGACATTTACCAATGCATGCATCTGGTTTCACATAAGCATCGGCCAATACTAATAAATAAGGCTGGTGTTATGAAAAGGAGTTACTTGTCCAAATCCAACTGACTTTCCAAGGAAGTTGGGTTCCTAACCCTAACCCTCTGGAAAATCTAAATCTTATTTATATATTGATATTAGGGAAAATTTATCTGAAGCCAAATTTGTTATCTGAAGATCAACTCAAATCCAGTTATATTTTTTTAAACTGCTTAAGCGTTGTTCAAGTTAGGAGAACTTTCACCTGTAACTCTGGGGTTTGAATCCAGAAATAGCACTGCCAGTGGTGACCAAAAATAATTACCATTGCCACATAGCCCACTAGGGCTTGCTGTAAACCAGGAGTTGCTAACCTGAGCCTGAGAAGGAGCCAGAATTTATCAATGTACATTGCCAAAGAGCCACAGTAATATGTCAGCAGCCCCCCATCAGCTCCTCCACCCCACTCCTAGCGCCTCCTGCCCACCAGCAGCCCCACGATCAGCGCCTCCCTCTCCCTCCCCGTACCTCCTGATCAACTGTTTCGTGGCATGCAGGAGGCTCTGAGGAGAGGGGGAGGAGTGAGAGCATGGTAGGCTCAGGGGAGGGGGTGGGAAGGGGTGGAGTGGGAGCAGGGCCTGTGACAGAGCGAGGGGTTGAGCAGTGAGCACCCCCTGGCCCACTGGAAAGTTGTCGCCTGTAGCTCCAGCCCCAGAGTCGGTGCCTATACAAGGAGCCGCATATTAACTTCTGAAGAGCCGCATGTGGCTCTGGAGCCACAGGTTGGCCACCCCTGCTGTAAACAATCCAAAAGTACTAATAATAAAATCAAAAGCTGAATAGATTTGACATTTGTTCGACTATTTCTTTTCCTCTACACTGACAAAACAAAAACAAAACACCTTTTACACAGTTTCTTTACTTTCAACAGATATAACAACACCTGAATCAGAGGATCTCCTTCTAAGGGCTGGTCTACACCTAAAACTTAGGTTGACCAAGCTGTATCACTTGGGGTGTGAAAAATTCACACCCTTGAGAGACCCAGTTGAGTCAACCTAAGCCCCAGTAGACACCACGAGCTCAATGGAAGAATTATTCCATCAACCTAGCTACTGCCTCTCAAGGGGATGGATCTACTACAGCAAAGGGGAAACCCCTTCCTTTGCTGTAGCAAGTATCTACGCTGCAGCTGTGTGGCTGCAGCAATGCAGCCATACTGCTGTAGCGCTTGTATTGTAGACAGAGCCTGAACATGGCTGCAGGGTTAGGGGCTGAAAAAATGCTGCCAGTTGCTCCTAGGAATTAGTGTGATTTTCTTCCTAACTCCTAGAGTGCATAGGGACACATTTCTGCCTTAACCAAGAGCCTATTTTACTCTTGAAATGTTCTCTCAGGTTATGAAGCATTTCCAGTTTTAAGATACAAAATGAAGATAAACATCTTTCAAACTTAAATGCGAATTCCATAATTCGCATCGTGAACTTTTCCCCCCACTAACTCTCAATTAATTTTTCCAATCCCTTTTCTTTATGTTTATTTACACCATTTAATTTTAACATATGATCTGTCTGAAAATGACTTCCACAATATTTGCCAAGAGGGGGAACATTACATCATTCTCTAAAAGTTTAAAGGGAGTACCCCATACACATATCTGTGGTTTTATTCCATATATAATGTATACTGTGTTTTGAGATGTAAAAATTCACACAGAGAAAAACACACATGCACACACACACACACAAATAAAAGGCAATGAGTTTGTACTTTCTTGCTTCATATTTAAGACCATCAACTATAGCAAATGAGTATAATGGTGAATAAACTCTTTGTACACTGAAGCAAAGATTTCTTTAATATTTGTCTCCTTTGATCACTTGAGTTATTTAAGTAGTCCTGTAGAAATTTGGGCAAATTATGCTATCCAGGTACTTATATGAACCCCACTTTCCCCCAGAATCTGAGCACCTCATGCTCATTTATGTATTTGTCCTCCCAACACCCCTATGAGGTAGGCAAGTGTTGTTATCCTTTTACAGATGAGGAACTGAAGCACCAAGAAGCTAAGTGATTTGCCCAAGGTCACATGGGAAGTCTGTGGCAGACAGAAAAGGGAATTGAACCTGGGTCTCAGGAGTTCCAGGGTAACACCCTAGCCCCTGAATCATCATTCTTCCTCTCCTTGCTTGACTATCACTGGTAATCTTGCAGTGGGCAGGATTCTTTCATCTGCTACAGCCCTTTTGTCCTGCTGTGGCAGCATAAATGAGCCTTGGAGCCAGTCAAGGGAGAATCTCCCTGGCACAGGCTTTGCACAAGGCATTTTCTCCCCATTGCCCCCAACTAATGCACAAATTATTCATGATAAGAGTTTAAGTTTTGTGGTGCCACATGTAACAGCCAGAACAAAGACAAATGTATGTTAAAAACAAGATAGCCGACATTATACAGCTGACGGTAATTCCCAAGTTGCAAGGCATCTTCAGTGCTTACATCGAGAAACTGGGCAGTAGTCCCAGGGAATGAGAGGATTGCTTGTGTAGCACCAGGGACCATGAGCATCATCATCTGGATTGCGGCAGTAGTTTTTCTTCAGTTTGCTAATATCTGGTTCCCTGAATACTGGTATGTGCCTACAGAAGAAAACATGCTACCAATAAGTATGTTGCTATGAACATTCATTCCTAATTTTAAATGAATTCACATGGACTATATTCAAGCATAAGAACTGCAGGGAGGGTTGCAGAGTTGCTTTCTAGTTGCTTCAAGGAGTGGCAGGACAATTAATTTCCTCAGCTCGATATGAAGAAACCTAGCACAAAGCTCCGTATTCAGGCAGTGTGCTCAATGGGAGGCTTTGGGCCACATTAAAGAGCAAATCATATTTCCTTTCAATTAGGTGGGAGTGGCTGGTGAATCAGGATTCCACGTTCCACACCAGAGATCAGAAAGAGGCCTAAAAATCCACCCACATGCCTTAAAGATTCCGCTCGTAGTGTTTTCAGAGTATGCATGCACACACGCATACATGTGCATAACAACAGGACTTCTCTTCCATCTAAAACTGTAGAGATTTTCTACTTATGCTGATGAGAATGGGATGAGCCAATCAAATCAAACAGTTTACAGGTCCCAATTAGAACAGACATATTTGTACATGCAGATCATGACAAATCCCTTCAATATAATGGGTTAATAACAGCAGTCAACACAAGTGTATAGCAATTCACGTATTGTACAGTGAGAAATAACCAGACAGTGACTACACAAACTAAACACACAGCACAAATCAGAGAGCAGCGAATTGCATTACTGAGGTAGAATAGTTTAATTAGGGGCCAGTAGCTGCGTGGCATCCCTGCACGCTGAATGGCTGAAACAGTTCAATTTGTGATTAATCTTGTGAGGAGGGTGTTGTACCTTTAAGGCATCTGCACTTTTTGCTGTGGGAGTTATTTAGAGTCCCTTTCTGAGCAAGCTGAATTGGTGCTTAGAATACAATTGAGCTATGGACAGCCCGGAGAGCTCTTATTCTTGCTTTGAACCTTTCTTGGGTTGTTTATCCATTTTCATCTTAAAACCAACTTGAAACTATGCCTGTTAAACTGAGTTGCCTTTTTCACCACCAATCATCTTGGCTTCCCATTGCAGTCAATGGGACCTGAGGATGCTCAGCAGGGAGCACTCAGCAACTAGCAGTACTCATCCTTAGGGAGCAACTATGCTACATTCCCTACCCTCCTCGCCCACAACTTTAAAGGGCAGAGACGGGAAAATCCCAGGCATTGAATGTACGGGCTATGAGATCCCAAAGTCTGTAATTAGTGGCAAGCCTGAACAAAGACACATTGTACAATATACTTAAATGTTGACGGAAATTATGCTGGGAACTCCAGGGGATATTTTGAAGTGTTTGCATAAGACAGTGAGGTGCAAATTGGAGGTGATGTTTGTACAGGACTCATTTATGTCTTGTAGCTACACACCTCCTTAAGTCATCAATATTCTTGTCCCACATAGAGCATGTTAATCCAGATCTTGTTTTAGATAAATTCCCCATGTAATTCTTGCCATTCCCACGATAGCAATCTGGAAAAAGAATATTGAGAAAAAGAAATGTTGAAGGAACTTGTGCAATAATGAAAAGAAAGTTGTTCTTTTACAGCAAGCATCCACATAATTAAAGATAATCAAGTGCTATATTTAGCAGACACTATACAAGATAAAGCAAATATAACCAAAACCAGAAAACAAATTAATGGGGGAAAGTCAACCTTTCTGAAATTAGATGATATATCCCCTTCTTAAGGCCTAGGGTCTTAACTATAGTATGCAATAACTTACTTTTACTGTGTCTTTCTTAGATAAATTGGAAGCTTTTCAGTTGAAATATAATTTGCTTACAGTTAACTTAACAGGGTCACTGCAAATTATTCTACTTCTAAAAGCTGCCAGAATATGTTGTGCTCTTTTTAAAAAGTCCAGATATCCTCAATAGAACTGAGAACAAAAACTTCTGAACTCATTAAGGAGAGGTTCTGGATTTTGGCAGCAATAGATACATTGGAGTTTTTCTGTTCTCTGGCATGGCCAAAGAGTAGTGCACCTTCAACTTAAATACAATTTAAAAACATGCCTTGATAATGAAGCATAAATTATGTTTATCGTATGATGTGCTGTCACCAAACATGTATGTGTAAAAATAATTTGAAATGGTCAATAACATAAGACTTTATGTATAAAATGATTGATTTGAATGGTCAATATTTTAATTCCAAACAGACTCCCCCAACACGCTTTTGTTTTTTGTTTTTTTACAAACACAAAAAAAAAGGAGGCAAAATTTAATCCTTGTTAATACAAAAAAATCCAAGCCCCTTATCCCACCAAAAATCTTAATGGAATGCTAGGATAAATGGAATAAAGCTGATATCTTTTCTTATGAATTATTCTAAAATAGGGTCAAAGCCTGAGCATGCTCTACAAGATGCTGAATGCGGTCAACTCCCATTGATAACAATGCATCTTGCAGGATCAAGTTGACATATAGCAGAGATCTAATGGGAAAATATCTGTAGAAAATGTATGTAATGTTAAAGCTTCAGATTAGAATGCTTCCTGATTTTGTTTAAAATTCACACCTATCTGGGGTAGGTTGCATGTTATTGTCTACATTCATTTCCCGGTGGTCAGGAGTCCACATTAAAACAACCAACCAACCATACATCAGATCTGGTAGCCTTGTTGGCAATTTCAGCAGAGAGATCAAGACATAGCTAGGCCTGGAGAATGATCTAGAGATGGTCCCTCCATCTCAAGCAGAAAACACAATGGTCCAGATCTTCAATTGGTGTAAAATGGCACAGTTCCTTACTTTCAATGGAGCTGTACTGATTTATATCAGCAGAGGATTTGATACAATAGGGCGTCAGATGGGGGAACACTTTCACTGTTGCTTCCTTTGCCTGACTAGAGGGACTAGGCCAGATTCAGAACTCATTTATATGACTGTAAAACCAATGAAATTCAAATGAAGCCAGTGGAGTTGCTCTGAATTGCATAGGTGTAACTGAGATCAGAATCAAGGAAGTCAGTCTGGCATCTTGAACTTAAAATATTTTATCTCCTTTGTATCAGTTACCTTGTTCATTTGACACATCACACTTAGGTATTTGGGAGCAATAACCGATCCGAATGTTTGGGTCAGTAGTAAAACACCAAGGTGACTCCGATCCATCTGGATTTCGGCAGTAGTTCTCTCTTAAATCCCTATAAAAATAAATATGCTATTTTATATTAGGCATAACCTAAAACTGCTGTGTTCTATTGCTTTTTCTATTACAAGGTAACAATAATAGAGGCTCCTTGAGGTCTGTATGTTCTTGATCAGTATTTAGTGCTGAGAGATTTAGGTGAGACAACAAGAAAGCAGGTACTAATAAAGTAAAGCAATTGTAACTGGAGTATGGTTAAAGGGGAATCATCTCCAGTAGATCTATGTTTTGACTAGCTATAGGATTTCACTTTAAGTACAATAATGTTTTAAATGTAGTATATTGCCATATGGGAACTTCCACCATTTTTTTCAAAGCTTTCTCTGATTACAAAATTCTTGCATGGCATCAGATACACCTGAAACCTATTAAAAGTATTTAAAAAAATACAAACCATGCCATAGCATTAAAAATTCTCAGTACTTTGAATGGCTCTGTAGAATGTTCAGAAATGGTGTCCTGTAGTTTCTCGTTGATTTAATTAGGAAACTGAATCTTAATATATGAAAAAATTGTGTTGAAATCTTATACAGGTGTTACCTTTTGAATAGGAATCTAATCACAAGGGAGTCACTCTTTAAAAATCTCTCACAGCTTGAATTAAATAATCAAACTTCTCAAATGTAAGTTTTATTCTCTTTTCTCCTGAAAGCTGTTCTCACTTTCTTTGCAATTTCACATTCCACAGTATTTTCCCATCTGCAACAGTCATTGATAACTGACGTTATAATAAATAGGCCTGATCCTGTAACCCTTATTCACATGGGTTTTCCTCAGTCACACAAGCAGTTCCATTGACTTCATGAGGGCTACTAGCATGATTAATAACTACTCATATGAGTAAGGCCTGCATATCAGCCCCATTATTGTTTTCAAGGTGAACTGTTACAGGGCTACTTTTTTACAGGAGATTGTGAGAACAGTACATTAAGCCTAATCTTACAATAGTAGTGACTCAGGCAAAATGTCAAAGACTCAATTGTATTTTGGCTGAGAAAACACTTCAGGAACAGCTTCACCGATTGTCTTTCAGGTGGGCGCAGGAAGGTCCTGCTCAAACATCTATGAGATTTATACAGGAGATTCAGGACCAGTTCCAATTCTATTCCCGCACTGAAGTCAACAGAAACGCAAAAGGTTAACATGTGAGTGATTTAAACCCAATATTCTTGCCCAAGGAGAGAATGTTTTTAGCTTTACGCCTATATCCAAGTGACTCCAATTATTGTTCATTTTACTGATAACTCTCTAAAGGATATAACACACATTAAACAACCCTGACAATGCCCCAGGTCAATGAAGGGATTGACGCAGCAAATACAAGTGTTTTGCCCAAAACTACAGAGCAAGTGCTTCTCAGAGCCAAGGTTAGAACTCAGGCTGGAATCTCTTCCACTCAAGTCTTGTGCTCGGGCCAAGGGATCAGTGTCATTAAATCTAGACAAGGTAATGAAAATACACGCTAGAAATGTAATCATTAATGAGGGGGAAATAGAACTGACAAGACAACAAAATAAAAAAAGTTAACTCCATAAAATATTATAAATGTCAAGTATCCACAGTGAGATTGTTTAGCTTAAAAGGGGGGGGCACCAAGATTAAGTTACTTCTGAATATTAAAACTACAGATAAACAATTGTCTCCTTCTAAGAAACAGTGATGCTTTATTAATGGGATTTAGGCCACAGTATTGTAAACACACATGTACTTAACTTTGAAATCAGTCTACTCATGTGGTCAAAATTAAGCTCATGGGTGTTTTCAGGATAAGGGTCTTCAGTGTGTAAAAACAAAGACAGCCTTGAACCAATTCATCTGTGACCCATAATAACCCATAATTTTTGTTTTCAAAGAGTAAGAATTATTTATAGCACAGTCTTGCAATATTCGTGTAGTTTCCAATGTCAGAGGCAACAATGAACATGTCAGCATGCAGAGTAATGATGATGATGATGACAATATTAAAAAAGTAGTAACCTTTCTTTGAATACCCGTTGGCGACATGAATGTCTAAATTGCAGGAACTGATCTCTGCCCTGTAATCTATGACACCTGCACACGCTACTCACTTGCACTTGAAGTTTTCTGGAGTGATGTTGTGCTGGTGAGGAAACTGGGAGACCCAGTGCTGACACTGGACTCCACTCCATATGGTGTTCATGGTACCTCGGTAGCCCTCACCTTGCCCCTTGATGCACTCTGTCATTTCTATGGCAGCATCAGTGATGTTCACAATGGTCTGAGCTGTAAATGGAAAGAAAAAGAGTGGTTTCCTTTTCCTAAGAGTGAGTCTGGTGTTAGTGTACTGCAGTTCAGACTCTATAGCTATTCAAATCCAGGGCCTCTGATGACATTGTCAGTGATGGTCAAGTCTAACAACTCTAAAACAATTAATTTCCTCTTTAAACTTTTACAAGACCAACGAGATTCTCTGTGGCCTCAGGGACTCATGTTAGCACATTTGCTTTCAGGATTAGGGCATAAAATGTCTGAAATATATAAGGGTTCCTTTGTAAATCTTGCTGCACAGAGAGATACTAGGTTGTTTCTACAGCAGTCAGTGTCAGAGTCATATTCTTAGTTATTATAATCCCAATCCTGAAAGTATTTACACACATTCTTAATTTTACCCAATTGAGTAGCCCCAATGGGACCTCCCACGTGTTAAAGTGAAGCCTATGCATAAATGTTTGCAGGATTCAGACCCTAATGTAGGGAGTTTTTTTCCAACGTACCCAAAATATCAGTGATGGATTAGTGAACAGTACTTACCTAAAAAGCAATAAATCTTATTATTAGCTAATGTCCTAAAGCTCCTTTAAGCTACTCATTTTATGCTTCATAAAGTTAAGAAAAAGAAGTGCCCTAACTTCTGGAAATTTGAGATCAGAATTCTCTAGAGAGAGATAAATATTTTCAAGACCAACAAATGCATCAGATTCAAGATCTTTCACAGATGTCAATATGATCTGCATTAATCCTAGTCTGGGCTGTTTTGAACTAAATTCAGACAAACAGTGGCTTCTCAAATGAGTCATTTCAAATGCTTGAAAGCCTCTTTATATTTCCTGTAATTGAAAAGTTGATGGAAAAGATGTTGTAGCACAAAAATTATTAATTAATGCAAAACTAAACACACTACGGTAATGTCAGTGTCTTCCAAATGCCCCCCAAAAAACATGTTTGAATAATTATTCAAGAGTCATTTTGTAATTGTTGCAAATTGGTATTTGTTCATAGTCTGATGAGTAATTTTACAAGTTAATTTACAAGGTATAGTTTTCAACTGTAAATATGTTAATAAACAGTCTCTAAATTAATTTTTCTATGTTCCAGGAATTAGAATAATATAGATGTGTTCTATTGATAATGTCATTCATTCTTAGTGCATCAGTAATTCCAGCCAGATCTCCTAATTCGCAAAGGGAATGGATCTCAGGAAAACGAAATGTTATAACATAGGTTTCTGTATGACTTATTTTCAAATCCCTCATTTTAAAGATCATATTAATATCAGTCAATAACATCAAGATGCACAGTGGTACTATATATATCTCTGTGCTAGAACTCTAAATTTCTCTTTTATTCATCGTAGGATGCTTTTACCTCTGCTTCATAGTCAGATTAATTGCCTGTCTCCCCTTCCCAAGGCAGTCCATCTGCAAAAGTTGCCCCTCTGCACTGAGGTTATGATTTCCAAGCTCATTCCAAAGCCAAAAGGCCATTGTGATGTCCCTTCTATGCCTAGGTTTCTGCAAGCTGGTAAATGCACCCTCTAGGGTAGATTCACTAAAGGGATTTGAAGCAGTAGCTGTTCTTTAGTTTTAAATTTTTAAAAACATTTTTATTGATTTTATAAATAAAACCAGGGCAAAGGGAGAAGAACTGGCTCTTAGAGAAGCACCTAAGATAGAGCAGTAATGGGCAGGGTCAGCAGAGGCTTGGAGAGCTCTAGGCTGATGACTGTCAGACTGGGGCCCTGACACAAAGGGGCAGAGAAGGTGCTGGGGCTACAGGGAAGGGGCCAAGGGAAGTAGGCAGTGGAGGAGAATTGGAGGAGGGCAGTCAGTGGCTGCCACTAGAAGGTCCCTGGGTCGGGGCCCAAAGTAGCGGGTGGGCCTGGGCCTCCACTTCCCCCCACCCCCTGCAATTGCCAGTGATGAGTGGCTAAGCCAGACTGCAGTTTGCCCTTGGAGGAAGTGGCTAGACTGAGGATTGCAGTGACCCACTGAGGCGAATAATAGAAACAAAAGCTGCCAGTCTAATAGCCCCATCTCTGTCACTCATAAAATGTGTGGCTTTGGACAAGTCACTTAACCTCTCTGCATCTCAGTTTCACCCTTTACAATGTTATATAATAATATCACATGACAGGGCTGTTGTGAGGATTAATTAGCAGAGCTGAGTGAATTATTCACAATGAACAATTTATCCTCTGAATGTATCCTTTCCCCTTCTTTTAGAATAATTGCAAATAGATTGCAATTTCCTCAGACTTATTCATTCTTTGAACTAATTTAATGATATTATTTCTCAACATTTATTCTGTGTATTGATCATAAACTGAGCTGACTGTATTTGGAACTTGATCTTCATAAATTGAGCCGTGTCCTTTAGTTCCAATTAGTCAGGTAAGTCACAAAGTATTATTTCTGTTCCCTGATTGAAGGAGAAGCACTTCTGGCACCAATACTTAAGCCTCCAAATTTAAAATTTGGCTTCTGGAAATTCTCAAGAATGCAACTTTAAAATGCATTTTCCACGAACATTTGCAAAAGGCAAAACACAAAAGGCATATGAATATGGCTAAAAAAATCTAAATGATTATTTCTTGTCTTACACTATCCCATCCACCCAACTCTATCAGGTCCCAATCCTGCAAAAAGTCCTGCATGGATTGCTTTTCAGGATCAGGTCTTAGTCCCTGAGCCAGCAAGCCATTTATGCACATTTAAATTTAAACGCATGACTAATCTCATTGAGTTCCATAGGAACAGTCATGTGCTTAAAGTTACACATGCTTAAGTGTTTGGCAGGATCAGGGCCTTAATTAGTAAAAAGGTAGAACTGACTTCAAAGGGAGTGTGATTCTGTGTTATGTTTTTACATTTTTATAAAAAGTGCTATGAGTTATATATTAACGCTGTCCTGTGAAGTTTTGTAATCGTTAGCAGAAATAATTTTGTCACTTATCTATTTTTTGGAACTTGAATGAAACGATTTCTTACAATTTGAGGACCAAAAGGAACCCCACTAATTTTATCACTTTGATTGATTCAGAAAGCTGTGACAGATTCTCCCACATCCCTTCTACACCTCTACACTTTCACCATCACACTCCTAACGCAAAAATAAAAAAGTTTCAAAAATGCAAAAGTACCAATTTTTCATAAAATTGTCTCTCTTTTGATATCTTTATATGAACTACTTATTAAAGGAAGCCCTTGTGCAGAAAAAACAAAAACCATATGGAATTTTGGGAGAAAGGACAAGCGCACAACCTGGAGCTTTGTATGGCAAACTGAGGATGATCTTCTCGATCCTATTCCTCACAACAATGGTAAGGTAGGAAAAGAGCAGTCAACACTACCATTTGTTCCTTCCCTAGAGAATTCCACAGTAAAGAAATGAGTATAGAAGAGACTACCATTCTTAGAAACCAAGGAGAAATCCTGGCCACGTGGAAGTCAATGGCAAAACTCCCATTGACTTCCATGGCGGCAGGATTTCACCCCATGCTGGCGTTTGTGGAAATTTGATATTAATGAAGGTGGAATTTTCTTTTAATGGTAACAGTAGCTAGGTTTACTAGAGAAAAATTAGGTGGATAATTCGCAATGAACCCACAGAGCCAAATTCTGTTCTCAGTGATACCAGTGCAACTTGTTCGAGTCAATGGGTTTACCAGGATGTAAATGAGGGAAGAATTTGTCCCTGTTTTTAAAGACAAGCAGGTTTGTACCTAATACAGTAGAGGAACTGTTCTAAAACAACTCAGTCATAATAAAATGTGACCTGTGTAATGCTGCAGAGATCAGTGAGAAGCTGGGGTGATCTGTTGAGCAGGTACTGCTCATGCACAGTAAAGTTGCCCCAAAGGAGCCTTAATTCATGTCCTGTATTATTATTGAATTTGAAATTCTAGGCTATACCACAGCTTGGGTAACTTTCCTACCCTATATTTTGAACATTGGCTCTTCAACTCCTTCTATGTGCTTGGTAGCTTTATTATGATATACAGCACAGCAGAGGAAAAAATACCTGCTTTATAGCATTGGTGTGGAAGAACCATGTAGCGCCAATTTTAATCTACATTGCCTGAGGGATAACTAAAGAATATATTAGAGCTGAATCCAAAACAAAACACAGAGGGTCATATCTTGGCACATGCACATGAATGTTAACACTGACAATTAGCTTGTTCTGGAATCCAGATACACATTTCAGAGTTGTTCTTACCTCTATAATGGGCTGAAAATCTCTGAATCCAAAACCCCTTTATATTTAATGTGTTCAAAATCCAGATCTGGATCCAAATTTTGACCCTGAATCTCACCTCTAGATTAAACAGAACTCCTACTCAATCTCCTATTGAAAAGTATGCTAGAAGTAGAGAGATGGAGTCTTTATAAAGAGAGAGAAAGTAATACATAGTTACACAGAATGAACACTGTATCAACCCTCTATTAGGCCCAATTGTAAAATTAAGTGGGAGGTAACTATCAAATTTTAAACACCAGTCTCTTCCCACTGACTCACTTCTATAAACATCTTTATGTTAAGTAAATATGAAGCTTGAGTTGCACTTTCTTTATTTGTGTAGTTTGTTTCAGCAAGACACTCTAAGGGCTTGTCTACATGTGGTCACTCAGGAAAGTCAAGACAAATTAAGTGAAGGTGCAGAAATTCAAGTGCACTAAACACCTGTGTGGGTGCTCTCATTCAGAAGTAAAGTGTCCTTGGTGCATTGTTGCTTAGGAGGATTAAACTACAACAAACTTTACTTCTGAATGAGAGTACCCACACAGAGGTTTTAATTTATGCACATTAAGTTCACAGCTTTAGTTAATTCATTTAAACTCCCTTAATAGACAAGCCCTAAGGCACAGCTCAACATTCAAATCAGCAAAGGAATCTCTGCTTCTAAAAAATGTAGTTGGCAAAAACAGAGGCGGTCCATTTCTTTATCCTCCCAATCAGTGTTGACAACAGCACCCTCGTCCCTCTGACCCACGCTAGCAACC